ACAATCAGTTGCTAACCTTCATTTGACCTAGTCCTAGGACTATAGCCGCCGTTGACCTCGCCGTATTTGTATGGTTGGTAACATCATTTGAACTGTATTAGTTAACTACTTGTTATTGTATTGGTACTGATGAGATAATAAGAAATGCGCGCATATATCAGTGTGAATCTTGCCATCGTTTTATTCAAACTACTGCGGGGAACTAGCTGTTATAACTTTCAACACTTCACTAAAATAAAGAGGTGCAGAAACAGAGAAGAAATCACCTGCATCATTGTTTGAACGACCGGACATCTAGTCATATATCAGACATCAAACCCACCAAAACGCAAGGGCTGGTAGGCCGTTTCGTAGATTCGCATACTCTACTGTCAGTTTCTCATTATGGAGCGCTATCTCACTCTTCAATTAAATGGAATGAAATGCTTGCTCAAAGGTTCGTAGGTGCGCGAGCACTCACGCTGTACGTTCCATAGCGCGACTGTGCAAAGTTGCTTTTCCGTCTCATTTCCACTTCTACATTTAGTAATAACGCCAGAAATTTCACGTTCGCCAAAAATAACCAACATAGTTGATAACAATAATCTTATTTTCAAGCCATATCCGTTCGGCTGGTGACCGATCGAGTGACGTCGCAGTATTCCAACCCGCCACCGACTTTTGTTAGTCGCGCGGCCGCGGAGCGCCGGTACGACGTGCCGTCTTACTGCTATTGCCTTTCTTTTTCATTCTCATGTAAAATCATTTTACGGTTTCTCTCAGTATGTTCCAGGTAAAATGTGCCCTTCCAATCGAGAAAGACTTGGTCATACGAATCAAAGATTTCGACTTAATTGGGACGGATGAGATTATCGGAGAGACATACATCGATCTGGAAAACCGTCGACTGACCAGATACCGAGCAACCTGTGGTCTGCCTCAGAGTTACTGCCTTTCAGGACCTAATAAATGGCGAGATTCAAAGAAGCCCACTGAGATATTGGCTGATTTCTGTGATTATCACAGCTTGCCGCCACCACAGTATGAAGAATCAAACGAAGCCCACAACTGCATCTCTTGTCGTGTTGGTCAAAAACATTTTTTGCTAGAGCACTTTGAACGAGGCAAGCACAATCCGCACTGGGGCGAGCCGAAGGAAAGATTGACGTTGCATATTCTTAATCAGATGCCGTTGGTGAAAGAACATGTTGAAACCCGTTTGTTGTTCAGCCCTCTGCAGCCAAACATTGAACAGGTGAGAAGATTACTGAAGCCATTAAATCTATTATGTTGGACTGTGTATAATTCCGGAAATGGTTACTGTTGGTTACAAAGGAGTATTATGAACCTTCCAACTCACAGTGAGTCGATCACAGCATCTTGTATCTGAGAGTAAAGTGGATCTTGTTGCTAGGTTTTAGCTTGACGTCAAAAAATGAGTGACGTAACGAAGAACCTTAAAGTCATAATTGTATAGGAAAATTTGAAAATTCCACGTAGTCGTTAAGCTTAGGCAGTAAGTTTTCTGCTTAAAATTGAGATAGTGTTACGGAATTACTTGGGAAAGTGTGATCGGGTCGATATGATAACCAGTTAATATGCTCAGATGCTACCTGTCCAACGCACAATACACGTGAGAGATTTGCTAACAAGCATGGGACAGATTTTTGTCCCCATTATTGCTTTGTTGCTCCCGTTTCCTCACTCGAACAGACTCGAACAGAAGCGATACTTCAATTGTAGATGAATAGAAGCCAGTATTCTTCTACCGTCGCATTCGTGTATTCGAGCAGTACTATCACAGCCACACTGAGTGATCGGACTTAGACACAGTTGCCTATTTGAGTGGCTGGTACCTGATCTTGTTTTGCTGGACAATTTTCCCTGGTTCTCATCTTAGTTCATTCGACGCAAGTGAAAGAGTACCCGTTGAGGCTAGACGCATATGGCTTATGTGGGATGCCCAGTTCTGACTCTACAGGTCCTATCCAGCGGTATACCATGACTGACATGGCAAGTCGTTAGCTAACAAAGTTTGACCTTCGGAAAGTAAGCGGTACTGCAATCTCCGCGCACCTGTAACCACCTTGTTTCTCCTCTCTTTGTTAAAAATAGTCAGGCATCACACCCCTCGCGGTTGTAGTTACTTGTAGCGCACAGAACGAGTAGAGTTTAGAAATTGCGATATTCATTGGTGGTAGCCGTCGAGTCTTTTCGGAGAAAAAGTAAATGCTACACCCTTTGCTGTGCGAAACACCTGTCTAGATCGGATACGAACTTAACGCTTGAAACCACCAAGGTTCAGTATAGACCAAATGATGGTACAAATTGAAAATGGGTTGCACATCTGTCACAAGGTTCCTCCACCAAAGAAGCCAGCAACAGAGCGTTGTTGTTATACTGCATTTTCCTGAGATTTACTCCACGCTAAGAATGGACTCACATTCTACGGTTGCAGCTATCCGATAGATGCTGTGCCACTACTTCCTAGACAAGATATCAATCGTTAGGTGTTCATAAGTGTGACCACTAAGGTAATTTATGATATAAGCATCCAATTTGCTTACGTAGTCTGTTTGAGGCTCAAATATGCTCCTATGTTTACCTGACTCAGAACAGTTCTTGATTGGCGGTTGGGCGCGGTAGTTAGAGCGGTTGAGGTCCTTCGCTGATATTCACTGTATGTATAGTTCCACGGCAGAAAACCTCTCAAGTCTTGTTGTGCGAACAAGAGAGTCAACAAATTTTACTTGATTGCATGCTTATGCAAGCTTACGTGGCAGTTAACAGCTTTTTTGTCTCGAACTGTTAAGTATCAAGCAATAACCGCGTCGCACTTTTGAGCTTTGATATCCGCTGATGAGGTGAATGTGGTGGGCTGGGCGATGTAAGTCACATTAGGAGAGTACCAGTGACGATCTGATATACTATATTCTGGTATTTTACATCCCGTTATGAAATTGAGAGGAGTACTAAATGCATTCTAATGAAAATAATGAGAGGTAACGTATCGCCAGTACGATCATATTGTCCGCACACAAGACACACTGTTACGCACCTCTATCCTCGGAAATCGTAGTGCTGATCACCAGCTGAATGAGTAGTGTTTCCATAACGCACAAAAGGACAGACTTGCAATTGCATATCTTGACAGGGGATGACACAATAGTCAAACAGCCTAAGATAAATGTGTTTCCCGTAAGATGATAACTTGTTGGTTACCGCTGCGTCAAGCTCCATCTAATAGAAATAAAGTGTGTCCCGTCTAAACTATTGCGCACACCTGGTGTACGCACATGATCTGGCCTGAGTTCAACAATCCAGGGACCAACACTGTTTTCAAATTGAAAGTCTAGAGTAACAAATGTGATGGATATAATCTTAATCCTCTGAACCTTACCGAATTTCACAGTGGTAATCATGAAAAAAGCTGGGATCCGAATCTGAGACTTGGCGATCACCGGTAGGATCTTTTGCCGTTGCGCTACGGATCCCGTCAATAGCGTATATTATACTGCGGGGATCTCGAAGTGTTTTGTATGTGTTCATAACGCAGTACACATATTCTGGGAACATCATCTTACTGCGAACTGAAGCACAGTCCTATCGACTACTGGAACTACTGACCTCAAGCTGCGAAGCCTGTTTTATGTTTCAGCACCGTGAGAACCACGCGGACAGTTCTAACGAAGGTAAAAGTGATCATTAAGTACAGCTTTCGGTACGGTCAGTAGCTGAATTTTATCCATTTTGTATATAGCTCTTTTAATAACTTCACCTAGGTCTAATCGATCACAAATGCTGGTCCGGCTTCACAGTGGTGCTCATAGTTCATTCACTTAGTAGGAACAGAAAACCTCAAAGAGCGAAATACATAGTAGGTTTAACGAAGGTGGACCTAGTAAATTCAAATGTACCAGCCGTTGAAATGACTAACTAGCAGCCGATTTCAACATAGTGATCGGAAATTTTTTCAATCCGAAAGTGTCTTTTAATTTGATGTCATGTAGTATGAATAGCCAGGTACACTTTATAGCGAGACGCCATATTAGTAAGAAGAAAAAACGAAATTGTGTGGGTGGAAAAGGTAGAAGCAATCGGTCAGAGTACAAGAACCGGAATTTCGAACTCCGCCTGCTTTTGTAAACAGTGATTGGATTGCATACGTAAGGTATCAAGTGGTTCACCGAATCTATTGAACCTGCTAAAAAGGAACTGGCTTTCAGGATCTACTAGCCCCGTTGGCTGCATAGAGGCCTCAGATTGGTGCACTGAAGCGCTAAAGTAGAACATGGTCATGTAAACTTGAGCGATTGTTATCCATGCGATCAGCTACTACAAGTCGTGCATGGACCAACTTCCTCAGTGCAGGACCACTAGAGGAAAGCTCATTTGTTCCAAACTCGTATTCCGCGTCGGTTGCTGTTAGGCAGAACAAGGTCTAGTTCTTAAGAGGCGCCAGCCCTATTATCCTTCTGGACAATGTGGGGAGACCAGAGGATGAGTTGTGGGTAAGAGCTTGAGTTCGTTAGCAGGGCACAAAAAGTAGACATTCAATCCATCATATATCACTCGTGAATCCAGGGAATAGAACAATGTTTGTGATACCCAGCCATTTGATTAGTAATGGTGAGTACTCATCACACTGATCATAGATTTATTCGAAGAAAACCGTGATCCCAGTTTCGTACGGTAGCTTCATAACTACACAGAAATTCCACAACACTCTCCTCTTGCAGAGGATCCAGCTTTCAGATGGAAAACAAAACCTTTCAGCATCTTGGCTTACCTTATCATTTGCTTGCAAATAGCCAACTTATACGTGATGCTTACCGTACAGAACCCAGATATTGGCTTTCAGCGGACGACAATATGTGGGATTCTCCTCTTCCTGAACCCAAAATAGCTACGAACTAATTTTTTGTTATTCCCACCATGATTCTCAATGACTGGATAGGCAATACTATTGCAGGTTTTTTGAAGAAGATCCCTAACCTTTTACATTTTAGGGAAAACTGCAGATGTGGGTGGATATATTTCCGTTGAAACTTGGAGAGCCTGGCCCATCTGTGGATATCACACCACGCCGACCAAACGAATACGAGTTACGTGTGATTGTCTGGAACACGGTAGAGGTGATCTTGCAAGAAACTTCGATTACCGGAGAAAAGATGTCAGATATCTACGTAAAGGTGAGTATCTTGACTCCCATTTGTCAGAACAATATGCGGTTAGGAATGAGACATTGGCCAACATTGCTTGTGTTGAGTAGCTGACTCTCGAGCCATGTGTGTGACAACAGTCCGTGCTTTGGTTCTGTGAGGTAGGCTATGGCCGTACACAATGATGCATCCATTAGGGAAACGTACGATATCGACAATATCCTGGCGGGAGTAGCGTCTAGTTGCCAAAATATCTTCTCATTCACGAGGTCTGAACCAGAGTTAATGCGTGCATCTTGATACACCTAGCAGATGGTGCATATTGGTAGTGGAAGTGGTGGCCGTGTTCATGACCATTTGAGATAGTTCAAGTATGATAGCTTTAACGGCACATCTTAAGATATCCTCTGCAGCAACCGAAGCCGATACAACCTCTTTGGTCAGCCAATTTTGGTAAAAATTCAAGGGCAGTTTTCAGAGTTTGTTGCATTACATCCGTGTGAACTGCGGAAAGTTTACTTGTGGACAGATTATCCGAAAAGATTATCCGATACTTCGGTACTATAAACATGGTTAAAACCCCCATTAGCGCCACTTATACACTTAAGGAAATAGAACTTACTTCCTTAATACGTCGTCGAAATCCATATAAATTTACTTTAGCTTCCAGGAAGCGCGTCCCACTATCACAAAACATAAAGATGGTGGGGGATTAAAGCTCACGGTTTTTCTTTGTTCGAGGTAGCTGAGAATTTCTCTCCTATTAACATTAACTCGAGATTACTTGTATCGTATTGTCTCTGCCGAAAAATGGAGTTTAGTCCAGAGCGGTATGCTTAGATAACGCGCTCAAGCTAATCCACAGGGAACAGTGGTCTATCCACCCTCAGAAAGAATTAGGTAACCACCATCAAATGGCATATGAAACTGGGTGCTCAGAAGTATCAGTGCCATGAAGGGCGAGTCTTGCCATTGTGTGTAGCGCCTTGTGTCCACTGTGGCAGTCCCATCGTGCGGTAAGTTTTTAGACTACTTCGTTTTAAAGTTACGGATCGCTAGGGAATAACGCAGCACTATGATATCACATGCGTTGCGAATCAGACCTTGGAAAATATATACTAATCGTTAAAATTCTTCCAGGAGCGTGTCAGCTTAAACCACCATCGAAATACCAATGAGGTAAGTGGTGCATTGTAACCCTCGATCTTCGATTGAGTACTTGGGGCCAAATCAAGGAGACACCCATATCCACTGTGCATTCCCCCGTCGTTGTGTTCCTCGAACGCAACAAAAGCACAGAGGGTGTTAAACGATCGGTAGAAGAGCAAGACCTATATAAACACTTTTTATACCACCCACTCAGTTCGGCCGCCTGTAATAAATAAATAACGTTTTATTCCTCAGCATTGCCAGGCACAGACCAATTGGGTGGTCTTATCAACATGTACAACGTGATCGCATAATATAGTTAATTATGCGTTTTTTGATCAATGGTTCCCATTTGGGTTTTCGAATTGATTAGCAGTTTGGAAAAAGTAGAGAGATAAAGAAACTGGGAACACTAATAAATGTAGATTTCACGGAAAGTTCAAGTAAAGTAATACGGTCATCCATGGAACTGTCCCCACGGGATTCGCTTCCATGCAGGGTATTCCCACGATGGGTTTCACTCGCACTTCCATGCTCTAATTGGATCTGTGCCTGTGGCAAGATAGTAAATAGGCCATCAGAACTAAGTACCAAATGTCTTTTTTAGGGCTATTTTTTGCATACATTATAGGCAATGAAGCCTCAGCCCGTTCTGTCATGCGGATCAATCAAGTATGGCACTTTTTAGTTTTAAGCCAGTAAGTCAGTAGTAGTATGATTTGCATGGGTATACTTTTTATTTTGGAGGCTGTAATCCGTCACCACAAGAGATCAGCCCATTCATGACCAACGGTGAAACAAGAAGAATATAAAGTATGAGGAATTATAAAACATAACGATGAATACAAACGCTTGCCGATAGGCCAGTCACAATTTGATGGAAAATCTTGGCGAATGCGACGATGGTACAGAGACATCAGCTTGAAAGACGTAAATAAATAAATAAATAAATAAATGATATATTTCTCGACATGCGAGACACAGGCAGACTACGAGCCTGATCATGTGGTACAACAAAGTCGGGTAGTGGAGAGGGATATTCAGTGATCAATTGTGTTCACATAGGAATGTTTCAGTGCTAAATCAATTAAAAATAGTAAAGGAGTAAGAGTAGTAGAAGTTGAGAGTAAGAATAAAAGTAGATATAAAACTGTCAGTTTAATTGGAGTAATACGACCCATCATGAAACCGTCTCCCGGAGACCTGCTTCCACACTTCTCATCCACATCTCATCTGGCCATGTGCTATTGTGGCGATATATGTATACAGTTATGTGGGGGCGTGTGATATATATTAAGCTCTCCCCATCGTATAGCCATCTTTCATCTGATTTGTTTCCAGTACTGTATTGTGGGGGCCTGTGTTCAATGAAAGCTCTCCCCATCATACAGCTATCTTTTAGCTGATTCAATTCCAGCACTGTACTGTGGGGGCCTGTGTTTCATATTAAGCTCTCCCCATCGTATAGCCATCTTTCATCTGATTTGTTTCCAGTACTGTATTGTGGGGGCCTGTGTTCAATGAAAGCTCTCCCCATCATACAGCTATCTTTTAGCTGATTCAATTCCAGCACTGTACTGTGGGGGCCTGTGTTTCATATTAAGCTCTCCCCATCGCACAGCCATCATTTGGGTTGTGGCCAGCCACAGGATGCCTGCGCCTACACAGGGACCATGGGTGGCTTGCGCTGCACCACCCACAGCTCCAACCACACACCCCATATCCAGTGTAAACCCGAAGGACTAAAACCGGGAGGCATGTGGGTGGGAGCCACGTTCCATCAACGGAGCCGGCCCACACTCCTTCACAGACAAACACAAGCACGCTGTATTTGGGAAATCAAGCGCACACAAGGCGGTGGCTGGACCGTAGTCCGCTCCACACTAACTGCATGGAACCACTCTTTGATCTTAACACGGCCACAAGGACCGTGCACCCCGTCCCCTCCAGCAACGACCAACTGTCTCCTGGAGCCAGTATGAACGAGGTAGTGGGTAATAGACAGGTAGACACCTTGTCAACATGCACATCAAGCGCAGCCACACCGGGATATCAAGCAACAGCCAATCACCTGGAACGACAAGATGAAATAAAACAAATCCAATAATGCATACAGATACGGTGGCATAACACTAAGCTAAATAAGCATATGAAGTAAGTCGGCTAGCAACGAATCTGCGATAAGGAAAAATGTCCACGTTAGTTAAAAATGCTGCAAACGCAACAAAGTTACCGAAGATAAGCGCAATTAATGTAAGCAACGTGGCCAGTTAATGGAACATTATTCAGGTAGGCAGAACAAACAAAATAAAGTGGAATGAAATTTATGCACCTTAAAGAGACCTAGTTTAAGTGTAAGTTGTTTTAGCCCAACTGCGGTGAAGAAACATCGAGAATGCATGGGGCTTATACGACCTATCTAAAGTGCACGAGAATCACACGGGTACAAACTGGCCACGGTTTCAGATGTAATGATCGAATCAAACCAACCGGTTGTGAGAGTGCTCAGTTGTCCAAAGTCCGCGGAGGGTAGATTGTCCTTCAATAATCGACCGCTCCGTGCACAGGTAACCCTAAGGTCAATTCCTTTGAGCGCCGCGTCACGTTATGCCGCAGGTTCCAACAGGTGCACACGCACAAATCCGGCCAAACAGAGAGATTTGCGTGCGTTCGATAGAGCGCGATTCACAATGCGGCGTGAGAGCTCTTGGCCAACCAAGGCAGTGTACGAAGATATACTTGCTTCTAGTTGCTTTATGCAGCTACAAACAGGGTTGGTTTAGGTCTCTTAAAGTAGACCTAGCAATAGGCTTTCCGATAACTCCAAAAACCTTGATGAAGGCAGAAAATTGGTGCACTCGTAGGCGAACGACTGTGCTGAAACAGCCAAAATTGAAAGCCGGATTTTGACGTTGATCCGTCTATAGTACCTTCAAGAAAGTTTGCGCAATGGGTAGACCTGATCGAGCCCGATTGAATGAGTGTACCCAGGCCGATGTGCGAAGAAATTTGAATCGGAAAACTTGAAAAGTCAGGAGCAATGGAAAAATTCCGACCAGCACGGCGAGTGACGAGTTTGTCTATATGTTGCCGTGTCAGACTCTAGGCATTAACCATGCATTTAGTAAACACTAGTCAGGCTTACAGTCTGTTATAAAGAGGTTCAGATGGTTTGAATATCTGTTGACGATGCTGTTGCCGTGCAGTAAAGCAATCAAAACTGATAACAGTAGCTCAGTCAAGGAAAACCATGAAGCTCACTGTCGTATAACGTAAAATTGTTGACGAAACAGTGGTCTGACGACGATTGACTAAACTTAATACCCCAAGTCATAAAGCCTGTTCGGTTAACGCCTAAATGGTTATCTGGTTCGTCGCTGGGGCTCGACGTCATTCTGATCGGCTACTGTAGCCATGTGTAGCGTGCGCGCTTGGTTGTCTAATCAGATGATTGCAACTTCCTTATGAGGACATTAGAAGTAAGACCATGAAACCATGCAAATTCTGAATGAAGAAGATATTTCCAATGGCTCCTTTCGGATATTTTCATCCAGAAACCCACATAGATGATCTGATTTGCTGGTAATTGTTAGGTTCTGTTAATTACACTCGATTGAGTAAACAGATTCCGTGTGGAGTACCTCGCCATGAAATTAGCATGACACACTACTCCTCTCCACATCCGTCTACAGTTTTTCCATAGATCTTGTGCCCAATGGATGGAGGTTGCGGTAATGATGCTTCATTCAAGTTGGGGAGGCGCAGACGTTCCGGATGCTACAGACAAACAGTAGTTACTCTACTTGTGTGGGTAGGACGATGTTCCAACGTACAAAATACCGTCTAGCAAGGCTTTTTCGTCAAAATAATTAAGGAGCTGCTTCGGCACTGAAGGTACTATGGTACGGAAAACCGCGTGACAAAAGGGACAGTGCCGAACACTTATTTGCAGACTAGATAAGGTGCTCAACTGCATATCTTCAAACTGCTTAATCTGTGATCGGAATGAATAAATTGTCGCAACATTTAGTTATCTAGTATCTTAACCCGTCGAACAACCTCCATTGACCCTAATCTCTCCCAGCAGTTGTCACTTTTCGAAGTTGTTTTGCGAAATGAGGGAAGGCCGTGGACCTAAGTGAAAACTGACTGCAAGTGATCTTAATCCATGTTGTACGAAAATGCAAAAGGATAGATAGTTTATACTGTCTACCATCTGGCACTCAGTATCCTAGCTGTCCGGTTGTGAATCCACTACTGCTAAAATGGAGTATTCTCGCGCTATCGGTCTCTATAGACAAATGAGCCTTTCAGTGCACACAATTTGTCCGCATCAGCACCCGCCATTTTGGAATCGATCGTTATCTACCAATCCCACTCACGCGATTGTTATCAACTACGAGTACTATTGACTGGCATGTTGTTGCTTCATGAGTTGTCGGATCTTAATGGTTACAGATTTGACAGGCCTTTTCATTGTTTCAGATACCCACAACCCGAACGCTTACATGTTGACTTGGCTATGCTCTCTTGTTCGCTGCATGTGTTCTACTCAATGCGTATGCCTCTGCCCATGATTTTCCGGATCTACCGTGTGAATGCTTAATCTTCATTCTGGTCCAATGGAACATTTGTCTTTGCTTGGAAACATCTAAAAGCCGACTTACGTCGACGTTGATGTATCAGTTCGTATCATTGCCAAAACTTGCGACATAAATACACATTGAAACCAGTCAACTGCTTCATAGTGTAACAACTGCATGTGTGCTGCACATGCCTACTCACTGGCTTATAGCTAGGCACCAAACCTGCCGGACCTGATGGGCCCCACCCACTGATTCTCAAGTCACTTTCGACTATTATCTCTCCTATCGTGACTGACGTTTTCAACAGGTCGCTGTCCGAAGGTTCGTTGCCGAGTGACTGGAAATGTTCGGTGGTGAAGCCTATTCCGAAAGACGGCGGCCCTAGCAAAGCAGACAACTACAAGCCAATTTGTCTGACACCTATTTTACAAAAGTTGCTGAGAAAATCGTAAAAAATGGATTATTGCAATTGCTACAGTTAAAAGAGGTCCCGACGTCCGCACAGAACGGCTTTATGCAAGTCCGCTCATGCATTAAAAATTTGCTTGTGAAGAGCCACTAATGGTTGCAGGCAATCAGCAAGGGGAAGTCTATCGACGTGATATTCACTGATATCAGTAAAGTGTTCGACAAGATCAGCCACGAAGTCCCCCTTCACAAATTCAGGATGTGCGGTGTCGGTAGCTCACCACACCAGTGGATCTGCGACTTCTTTGTTGAACGAAAGTGGAGGGTAAAGGTCGACGACCATCTATCTGACTGGTATCCCTCTACAAGTGGCGTACCCCAAGGCACTCTGCTGGAGCCCACCCTGTTCTTGATCCACATCAACGATCTACCTCAGGTTCTCCGGTCACCGTGTGCTTCAATTGCGGACGACATGAAGATTTGGAGAGAAATTGACGCTCCGGACGACTGTGGCGTACTTCAGCGGGACATCAACCTCCTGTCTACATGGTCTGCAGAAGTTCATCTCCAGGTTAAACCAGCCAAGTCCGCATTTATGAGCTTGCGGAAGGATATTGTCGGCCGAAGCTACACCCTTGACGGCCGACCGCTATATCCCACACCCTCCGTGAGGGACCTAAGTGTACTCTCGTGCTGCGATTTAAAGTCTGTGGCCAACACGAACAGGTTATATCGTAACGGACTGCGCATGCTTTGGGCGACCAAACCTAGCTTCGGCACACGGCATGAAGAGGTTGCCACTTGCTTATGCTCTCTCATCATTAGAGTATGGTTCACTCGCCTACTCTCCGATTACATGAGGCGAGGCACAAAAAATCGAACGGGTCCAACACGTTGCTACAAGGCTCATCCCAATTTACCTGGCTAAAGTAATGAATACCGGTGCAAGAAATTAGGACTCCACACCTTGTCCTACCGTCGGGTGCGAGTCGAACACATTATGACTTACCGTATACTACATCTCAGTGACTTCCCCATGCTGAGGCCAATATTGCGCTTACGAAGGCCATGCAGCACACGCGGACACAGATGCAAATTTGTCGTGCCGGATGTGAAGCGAGTTCTTCCAACGGAGAGCGGTAAATATTTGGAACAGTTTGCCTGAACATGTGATAGAGGCCACATCTGTGCAACAGTTCAAAACGTTGCTGGATTTATATTTTACCATTATTCGATTCAGAAAACGATTGCACAATTACGATGATACCTCACATTTGTGAATCCTGCAATACCGTTAGTCAGATATTTTATAGGTTACATGAGAACGATAACGATATTCACAGCGGACGATCTTTGTAAAGTTTTTCACCGTATTTCGAATGAGTTGTACATAATTCAGTTCTGCTTGCGCTATAGTACAGTATTCAGTTTATGCTGTACTTAAAGATTGCTGCGCATTGATCTGTCCATGAGTTTGATCACTTATTATATACAAGGAATATTTAGCTGCGTTATAGTAACTTTACTTTATTTTTACTACAAAGTGCGCTTGTGATATAATTGAAGATTCACTCCAATGGCACACTCCTACAGTATACTCGTAAATTGAATCTACCTGATTGCAACAAATGAGTGTCGCATTTTTGTAGTCCACATCAGTGATCTTTCACTCCGATGATAAACAGGTATAAGATACCTTTTTGATTTATATAAAATAAAAAAACAGTCTGATAGTTTTAAGGCTTCCCTTGTTTTCACCACACCGATTAGTCATCTGAGCCTGACATCTTTAGGGCCGTGCTAGTTACAGCCAGAATTCCAGCCGTTGTGCAAGACCTCAGGTCCTTCTAATTTTTGCCCACTTCAATGGGATCTTTTCAGGGTTGGTTATCCGGTGTGGAGGAACGTCAATGCACCGACGTCCACTACCGCTCTTTGGACGGTGAAGGCAATTTTAACTGGCGTTTCGTCTTCCCGTTCCACTATCTACCGGCGGAGAATTTTGTTGTGGTCCGACGTAAACAGCACTTCTGGTCACTGGATCAAACGGAGCAGCGAGTGCGACCCAAATTAATTCTCCAAGCCTGGGACAATGATCTATTTTCTGCGGACGACTTTTTAGGAGCGTTAGAGTTGAACTTGGCCTGCATGCCATCACCCGCAAAGACGGCAAGGAAATGTAGTCTGGAAATGCTTCACACTGCCAGGCCAATGAGGATGCTGAATCTGTTCGACTGTCGCAGAGCGAGAGGTTACTGGCCATTCATGGATGAAGAAAACGGACAGCAATCACTGACTGTGAGTTTTTGAAGTGAAAGCAACTAGGAGGAGTATGAATGAATCATGACACACTGTGATCCTGCACAGGCCGACCGCTATGAGCTCAGCCATTAACTGATGATTTGCGGTGTTGTGTTTAGGACTGTGTTTGATCTTGTGGGGAACCGCAGCCCTTTCTAACACAAAGCTTATCCAACCATGGCCTCACGCCGCCCGAGTAATGATGACGCTCTTAACTCCTCCATTAATGCTCTCCTAGCCACTGAAATCATCTAATCGCATTGACCGGCCAATTCGCTTCATTTACTCATCTCATTTAAATACCCTATGTTAGTTGTATTCCTATCTGCTGTGGTATGCTGGCCTGATGCGAACCACCGAAAACAAGCTTGTCCGCCTAACTGTCTTTTGTTACTGATAAATAAAAGACACAAAACCATCCAGCTGCAAGCAACGAAAACCTGAGAAGAAGAGTAACGGGACCAAAGTAAAACAAAATAAGAAAAACGGGTTGATGTACCTTATAGCTCTTTTTGGGCATTCAAGGTTCCAAGTAGTATAGCTGAGTAGAGTGATGAAATGTGTGCAGCTGCGGAAGATAGTTAAAGCGAATTTTACTTGGCTGGACCTTACGCCCACTGACGAGTACCAATAAGACGTAACGGCTATTTGGTGCTTTTTCGGATTGGTGGTAGAATGTATGGGTGAAAGATTGCTGCGAGGAACGTTCAATATAACTAGACAAGAATCTCCTACTCGTGAACAAACTAGATGTCGCAGAACTTGGTCTTTCAGGGGCAAACGGTTTAGGCAAAAATAACTATGTGACTAGCCTGTATAAACTTCGATGAATATAACTAGGTCGTTTCCATAACCAACGACGACTCTACATTCATGAGATTCTTCCTTTGCTTCAATCAAATGTACTCCAGTGTAGCCAAATATTAACCAATTAGCGCAGAGGCAGAGATACATAGGCGTCCAACCATCTGCCCCATCTGTTTGCGACAACCTAGCCACTTGTCTCGTCTTGTAAATCCGTTTCGTTCCTCTGACTGTATACTCCCATCACACTAGACATTCGCCATAACAAATCCCAGATGCTGTCATACATAGCGGTAGCTAGCGAAAGGTTTAACCCCATACAACTAACCCAGTCTTCTGCAGCGTTGGTCACTTGCCCGGCAATGGAAGATGAGTCGGGATATATCGTACTTAACTCGTAGGGCACTCGTAGGTCAACTGTCGTTCCCTGTGGCCTAGTGGCATAGGCGGCTGGCTAGTGATGCAAGCCGTAATGATCACAGGTTAGGTTCAGATGGAACAGGCGGATGAGTAATACTGACGAGTCCTGGCCATCTGGTACTTTTCCGGATTGGCGGTAGACTACCTGACTTGAAAGTTTCCAAAGCTGACGTTCAACACGACTCACTAAAGGGTCGAAGCTTGAAGTTAGCAATAACTAAGAACCAGAAGAATAGGCAGTAGTTTGAGAAAGGAACGTTTGATAAGTCTTTCCACACGGATAACCCCATGAAGTTCAACGTGGCAAGTAGTGACAGAGAAAACTATTACAAAATACATGAGTGTAAAGAGCCCAAGAGGGCTTGAGCTGCGTGTCTCCTTAGAATCCAATTGGTATAAACGTCTAATGTGAAAGTAGTGCTGTGATAGGGAAAGATCAAACGAAATCGGTAAGTCTTTCCTTTCAGGACTCTATATGCGGTAAATTACATAATTATCCGCAAATAATGCCCGAGCAGATGCGGATACATACATTCTCGCATTACAAGTCAACTGAGATACATTCCAAAACTGAAACGTAGTGACTCTTACTAAAGTGACACGCAGGTGAATAAAACGTGTCTCTCAATTTATCCATTTGAAGAATTTTCATCATTGTTATCCCTAGAACTCATTCCATTAGGTTAACCGAACGAAGGCTAATCCTTACTTAAGAATGGTCGCTCCTGGAATGCTCTCTGTATTTAATCATGAAAAGCTGCAAAGAAACACACAGATCGACCTAGATTGACTGATTTCGCAATAGCATGCCAATGCATTGCTTAGGTTGAACGTGAAATATAAATGCTGTCTTACACAGATTAGTTGTATTGAAGCATCTCTGTTTCGTCATTTAGGGAAAAATTGAAATGGAACTGGAAATGCTAACTAAAGCTGAAGCGCTCGCCAAACCTACAGGAATCGCCCGCGACGAACCCAATGAACATCCTCACCTTGATCCTCCAAAGTGAGTTCATTCATACACATATTATAGGTTGAATACAAGGGCTCATACCTGGGCTATGCTAGTTACTTGGTCATAATAAACTATTCAGATCAAGAGAGCAATCTCGTATTGCGAATAAAAATGTCGGTTTAGCAAGTTCCATGAACTGAATGAGAGACAACAAATGGAGAGAAAAAGGTGACAAAATGGAAAGCCCTCTGTTAGACCTACTAGTGTCCATAAGAAAATAAACGGAAAAGGTCCTGTCTTGATTATGTGAGAGTATGTTGGTAGATGCATAGTTTGTTACGTTACGTCGCCTCTCGTATTACACGGATTATAATTCATAATGTAGGTGGGTTATGGCAGTCAAGGTGTTTTTTGGACACGGATAATATGGGTACGAAAAGAAACGATAGAGAGGGCATTCCAAGGTTGACACTCATCGAGAGAGACAGTGTTCCGGCGACTTCCAAATGGGATAGATGGCCAACTTGAACTGGCAGTTGCTCAGGCATGTGTTGCGACTGTTGCAGAAGGTGGTGGCAAGCGTGGTTGGATTTTCTTAGTTGTTGGTGCGTTAATATAAAGGCCCTTCTCCCTAAGGTGACGATACTGTCCGCTGTAAAATCTTGGGGTCCTCAGTCTGTTGATATAACAGATGGAACAATTCGCTGGCGTGCCTGGATACTGTTCGTTTTGGAGTCTCCAGTGCGGCGAAAGCTTGCTTCTGCCAAGCTGCAAGGGGTGGGTGGAGTGTGCTACATGAGGCCGAAGTAGGTGCTAAGCAATTCAGGTAGACTAACAAAGCAAACCGCCCGAACATCATCTCAAGAAGACTGGCGTGTTTGTTCCCTTTCTTTATCACATATCATATTTCCTTTAGCGATTGGGCGTTGTAGTCTAACTACTAGAGGCACTCACCCAATCCGCCAAGGAAGAACACAACAAGCGACACGCACAGGGGGTTCTATTGTCAAGTCACGTCGTCCGCTAACACAGTTAGCTGTTGCCGTTGTTTGATGAACGCTCAAATCTGGTACATACGCGAAATCCCAATTTTTGGACTCCCGCGCGCTTGTAATCTGCTTTCTGGTCACAGCTTACGTTATTTGGGACTGACGAGCAATTGTCCGTCGGTTACCTGTGAGCTCACATCACCGTCACGTACCTTATAACAGCTTCATAGGATCGAAATCATATTGAACCAACGTTCCAAGGTCGCGCTTCTGCATAGCATGGCCATCATAAATGTATATACTATTCGGCTGATGACGCAATTGGACCATCTTACATTTAAATGAATTAAACTGGAGTCGGTTCTTAAATGATTAATCCTAACAACCATTCGTATCTTTTTGGAGTGTCTCATGACCTTCTTGGTCGTCAGTCGCCCACCACACCTTAATATCATCTGTAAAAATAAGGATGTTGAGGCTATCCCACTTGGATTACTCAAGATCCACAGACAGTTCAGCGAAGCATCATGATCGAGGTCGAGTAAGCAGTTGATATTGCAAATTAGTGCAGCCGTTTCTGTTTACGTTGTTATTGACATCCTGCTATTTGTTCCGTTCCCCAACGCACAGGAGGCCTGAAACGTCATTTTTCTGGTTACTATCTCCTTGGAAAACGTTCAAGTATATTATATGGCGACGGTTCCGATGGATCCTCCTGACGATCCTGATCTGTGTGCTGCTGGGACTTCTGGTAGTTCTATTCATCTACGCCATGCCGGTAAGTACTGTACACCATGAGTAACCATCTGGCGTTAAACATCTCTTGCAGAAGTACAGACTGAATTCAAGTTGGAAACCACGCGATGAAAGGTCGCTTTTACCCATGCCTAGGCAACTACAAAGTCCTTAGTTGACGACCTTTATGAGGGTTCTGCATGGTCCAGATGATAATCGCTTCGCTTTTTGTTGAGATTGTCTGGAGTTGTACATTGGTTAACGTTGTTGGCGGTTGTGATACACAACCGCCGTCAGTAGAGTGAACGCACGGCCTCAGTGCAATTCGCCCTACGAAGACGGAAAGTGTCCTAAGTGCACGTTTCATGTTCGCTGATTAGAAGAATTGCGAGTTTGAATCCACAAGGCGTTAAAGGAGATTTAACACATCACAAGCGATTCCTCGTTCGGTACCGAGACCGTGTCCACTACCGTGTGTAGGTGGCAAGGATTTGTACTGTCCATAGACAAATGCATAGGGAAACTGACGAATGAAACATTTTGCAACGGAGTTACTATTATAGAGACATACGCAGGCACTGTGAAAAACGAGAGTGATGTGATGAGTTCAGCGTGTTTCCACACTGACGTAATGGTGAAAAATGTAAGGCGTGGATTCAAACGAGCGACGCATTAGCACGCAAGCGTCTACAAGCTTTAGTCTGATGAGGAACACCCACTTGCGTTTTTGGTGGTATTTGAACAAGAGCTATAGAGCCGTGGTCGGTATGACCAGGATTGGTGATTGTCTTTCTACGAAGCATGGCCACAGTCCCAGTGAACTATGGGTGGATTTTAGAACCTGATAGTAAGAGATAACACTAAGGAAGATTTGCCGGTTGGTAAAAGCTTCCCTTCTGATCATCTTTGTAACTGCTCAACTTTTGGTCGCTAGAACGCTGGCACTGACTTTTTGTTACTTTTTAGTTAATCCGAACGTCCAAGGAAAGGAACAATCATATTACTGTGATGGCTTAATTCTCTCCGAATTATTGTGTTTTGTACGTTTCTTGGAGACAGGCATGTTTGAACTGACTCCTCTCCATAGTGTAAGATCTTAGGTCAACGCGTAGCTCAAGAACGCGTGCTGCCCACAACCTCCCTCCATTATTGTGTGCAACAATGACACTGGTTGTGCTAGCTACACAGCGGGTATTCCGTGAAAGAGCATCACTCGACACAACTAGCAGAAGCTAGAATGACACACGATTCCACACCGGAGTTTAACGAGATGTATACGAAAAACAAACCTCAGTGGCACCCACCATACAATGAAAATTTCCAAGACGCACATTCAAGACGTGCACTTGCTTCGTTAAATGTGCTTGCGAATGGCAGGAGGTTTTCTAACATTAAAAAATCCATAAAGTTGAGATAAAGGACCCCGAAAACTGTCACATTCAGTACGGAAAAGAGGAGACTATTTATGAGTTAAATGTGAAATTCGTAAACTAGCACTCACTAACCTCTGCGTATTAGAGCACGCATTATTGTGCTGCCGACTGTTGAAAGGATCTTCGAGGTCAAGAAAAAGAAGCCATACAGCCTCGGAATTTCCATCAAGTGTAGATGCAATGGAGAGCCTAAAGTAGGTTACGGTGATATGTGAAACATCCTCTGGTGGACACCCGGTGAAGATTTTGGGGATAAGCGACCTCTTGAAGCCTTACAGCACCACGAGATGTTAACTGTGACGTAGACAATTTTGTAATGAATGCATTATTTTAGCCAAACTCTGCATCCATTTCCTCTAAAGCGTGGTCATTATGATGGAACCAGCTGGAGAGATGCGGTAGGCCAGTGATAGTCCGCTTTCAGTAGGCTTTGCCTAGGCACGGCACGGCACTGCATCACGCCAGCGTTTGAAGTGGTAGCCCCACGGTGGTGAACCCACCCATATGCTTCTGTTAAAAGTAAAGAGCATTCGTCTCTGATGTCCCTTTTAGCTGTTGGTTGGAACGCGTAACGTACAACTCGGATGATATAGGTAAACTAATGAACAATGAACAATGAATTTATACGGGTTAAGAAGCGTTGCTTTACAAGCCCCGTTGGATATTTGGTGGGGATATCAACATAATAATTATGATGAAAAGGATAGTAAAATAGTTAACACTTTAAATACGAAAATAAGGACTTATCGTTTGCTTCGCTGCAGTCCTGCGATCCACTTAGATTCACAACACTCACAGTTAACAACAAATAATTCCAGGGTAAACTCCAGGTGTAGGATGGAGACATAGTGTTAAGTAACAAAGTGTAAGTGGATGAGTGCATCGTCCAACCGTCTTTTAAATATTGTTAGTGTCGGTGCAGAGACGACCGATTCTGGGAGAGCATTCCACGGGTGACAGACACGGATGGAAAAGAAATTTCTGCGGCACTCCAGACGACTGTATTGTTCTGCGAGTTTTAATGAGTGGCCCCTCAGGTTTGTATTGCTGCTGAGTTGCAGTAAAGGGCGGCACACATGATGTGGGTCTCGCAGAATCAAGTATGTCATAATCAGGTCGCCTCGTAGCCTGCGATAGCTTCCACTGAACAATCCTAGTCGTCGCAGCCTCTCCTGGTAGGACAGATTGCGCATTCCAGTTACGTTCTTAGATGCCCGGCGTTGAGGCTGCTCCAGTGCATTAAGGTCGTGTTTCAGCCATGGATGCCAGGCTTGAATTGCGTATTCGACATGGGGGCGAACATACGCACTGAGCATTTGTCGAAATATGGAGCTGTTTATTTGTCCAAACGCCCGCCTCAACAGTCCAACGTGTTGGTTCCCGGTCTTCGAGGCCTTTTCGGATTGCCTGGAGCAACCCAAGTCATCTTGAACCAGGACACCCAAGTCACGTTCGAGAGTTGATTGTTGCAGTACATCCGTTCCGAGTCGGTATGAGTAGCTGCCGTGATGTCGGATGGAAAGCACCTTGCATTTACTGACGTTGAAATGCAATAAGTTTTGGATCGACCAGTGATACACTGTATCTAAGTCACTTTGGAGCACATGTTGGTCGGCGTTCTCCTGGATCCTGCGCCAGATCTTGATATCGTCGGCAAACATTAGGAAGTTTGAAGCGATTCCCTGTGCAAGGTCATTAATAAACACCAGAAACAAACGTGGACCTAGAACTGAGCCTTGTGGCACACCACACTCCACTTGTATGGGGTCCGATAAAGAGCTCCGAACTCTGACCACTAATTGCCTTTGAAATAGAAAGTTGGCGATCCAGCTTAAAAGAGGGTCTCCGATCCCGTAATGCTGCAGCTTGGATAGAAGTATCCGATGGTCTAGACGATCGAAAGCCTTGGAAAAATCCAGGTAGATCACATCAACACCTTCTCCAGCGTCGGCTGCCTCGGTCCAACTACTGCGTGCAATGAGTAAATTAGTTGTACATGACCGCTGTCGACGGAAACCGTGCTGTTCAGGAGTGATGAGGTTGCAGTTTTCCAGATAGCACACCAGTGCATCGGCAACTATGGATTCCATGACCTTGGATAGTATAGGAAGAAGGGTTACTGGGCGGTAGTTGGAGGGATCAGATCTGCTTCCACCTTTGTGAATCGGGCTTATTATTCCAAGCTTCCACATGGCGGGAACTTGGTTCCGGTCTAAGCAGTGCTGAAAAAACTGAGCTAAATGTCCTGCCAGTTGGTTTGCTGCTACTCCCAATGCCTCAGGACGAATGGCGTCGACACCCGGCGAGCTGTGTTTGCGTAGAGAAGTCAGCTTTTGCAATACAGCCTCTGCGGTAAAATTGATGTGGGTTAGTCCTGGTGAGCAGAATACAAAGCTTGGTAGATCGCTTGGTGGCAAGACCCTTTGAAACGTGGGGGCGTATTGCATCTGCAGCGCGTTTGCAGCTTCCATAGACGTTCTTGTTGGGCCCTCAGCCGTCTTGAGTGGAGGAAATCCTTGCCTCACCTTTCGTAGGCTATTAACGTGCTTGTACAGCAGTTTGTGGTTAGCACTGAAGGTTTTTGCGATGTTCTGCTGATAGGCGGCTTTGTCTTCTCTTAACAGTTGAGTGCAGTGGTTACGTTGGGCTACGTAGTTGTCCCATTTTTCTGGTGCTGGAGCTTCTCTGTACACTCGCCATGCTGCGTTGCGTACTGTCATCCATTTTCGGGTTCTGCTCCTAACGAAAGAAACGGATTTGCACTTATTGCAAGCTTTTATCTCTGAAGCCTGTGCAATCAGCTGACTGAATGTTTTGACGAACTCGAGCCAGGCGACTTCCGGGGGTTCTTCTTCGAGGAAAGACCATGTTGTGGCGCTGACTAGCTGGGCGAGTCGGTCGTACCTTGTGATGGTTCGCACAGTATCATCGTTATCATTCCGATATTCTGCATAGCAGACGAAGTTGAAACTGATGACTGCGTGATCACTGCGACCCAACGGGCAGTCTAAAACCAACGCATCAATCATATGCTCCTCGTTGGTAAGCACAAGATCCAACACAGATGGCCTGTTACCAGTTCTGAACCGAGTGGGCAAAGTGATGTGGTTGTAAAGAGGAGCAGTAGTTACTAGATCTTGTAAATCGGTTTTGAATTGTTCGCCGGTTGTGGCAGGGGCTTCTAAACAATGTACGTTGAAATCACCCATGATAAGAATGTGAGTGTACTTTTGTTGTAAACTGCACCTTAAAGCAGCCATTAGGTGGTAGTCGGTTTCGGATGTTGAGTTAGGGGCGCGGTACACCAGGATAATAAGGCAAGCGTCCCTGCCTTTTAACTGCAACCGGCACCAAAGAGAGTCGGGGAACTGCGAATCTGAATCCTCCACGGCTTCGCACTGTAAGTCGTTTCGGTAGTACAGGATTACCCCTCCTCCTTTTGTGAGCCTATCGTTCCGGATCAGCGACATGCCGGGTAGCGACACTTCAGCGTCCGTCATTCCCGTGTGCAACCATGTCTCGGTGATACCAATGACATCATACGAGCCGGAAGCTTGGCGATCTTTCAGTTCGGCCAGTTTGTTAGAAAGTCCCTGAGCATTTGTATACA